AATCCTTCCACAATGGATGCTCCACCATAGTCAAAGGAGCGCCGGTTACAAATATAGCCTTAGCTAAGTTGTATTGTGCTGAATATGAAGGAAGATGCATATGTAAATCAGATGAAGGCGGAGCATCTTTTGCTTTCTGTATCTTGCTTATTGTCACATTGGTTGCAAGCATGTCTTGAACTCCTTGCTTTATTAATAATGGACACTTGATGCACTTTATTAAATGTTTTGCCATTTTATTTATATTTGCAAATTTGTACCGCTGTTCGCAATGTGAGCATGAAACTTCATTGCTACTTTCGCTTCTATGAAAATGTTTCCAAATAGTTTCATTTTTCGGTCTTCCCATCATTTAAAATATAATTATCAACACGCGCACTTTATTTCGTTTACTAATCGCTGGGAACAAATATAACAAATGAACCAAATTCTTTTTCTTCTTCTTTTGCTTCAGCATTGTTGTTGCCATCGCTCCCTCTCATTACATTGAATTGCCATAAGCACGCTGATTAGCGGTTCTTATTAAGAATTGTTGTTGTGTTTGATGCAGTCAAAACTGCCTTATCTGAGCAAAACGAATCAAGAAATGTATAAACAAAATACACTTAAAGAAAATATGTTCAAAATAAATTCGAAAATGTTCACATCTCTGTTTCTCTACGTAACAACGAGTATTTGTTATTCAAATGAGTATTTACCCAAAATTACATAAATACCCGGGTATGAAATTGGGTATAAATGGGTAAATACCCAGCGTTGGGTAAATACCCAGGTCTAAACCCATCTCTACTAATTGCTTTTATTAAGTACATGGCTGCCATCACCCGTAATACGCTTACTCAAAGGGCTCTGTCCCACGGTCAGTAATTATCACGATATTTGGATCGCGATCCATATTGATGGATTGATGGATCGCGCATGAATGCTACATGTTCAATATTTATCGCGTCAGTATTTGCATATTTTTTTTTGCTGAACGCTTGTTATGACGCAAGAAAATATTTTTATTTTGTACGTATAATTTACAGATAATGCATTCCACAATTATTTTAAGATTTGTTCAATTTGTTTTGAAAGATTTTAAGCCCCGAGAGTGAAGGCAGAGCCGATGTTTACATTATGAGAGTAAAAGATGTACTGAAGAAATGTATGGATCGCGTTTTGAAGGTGCTACACGTTCAATATTTATTGACGGTATTGCGATCCGCGATCCAGATTTCAAAATTTTTAGAAATTTTGCGATATGGATCACGATCCATCAATACTGCATACTACACCGTCAATAAATATCGCGATACTTGGATCAC